ACTTTCTATACCTATTAAATGGTGGAGAAGAAACATTATAGCATCATTAGACTGTGAAGTGTGCTGAACCCCGACAAATTCTCGATGTGACTGTCCTTGAGTACTTGTCTATAATCCCTCAGCAAATAGGCCTTTTATTCAACTACAGAATTGTACACACTTCAGACACAAGTGTCATTAATTAAATAACACACTCAGCAAACTCTCAGAGCCATTAATTATCAAAGGTAGCCTGCTCCATGCTTGGCTCTGAAATTCTATTATAACAGGAGTGCACAACTAGAGCGAAGGAATATGCTAGAGGAAGGTCACCCTCAAAAGCATGATAAGAAGAAGCTGTCAGCCAAAGTAAATGACAAAGCATGTGTGTCTTTTAGCTTTTCCTTTGCCCTGCTGGAGGATCTGAAGGAAGAGAAACTGTTTCACATCATAGGGCCTTTCTGTCTCAAAATTAGTTTCTCTCATGTAAGATGCAAGTAAATATAAAGTAATCCTTTTTCATTTTGACTGAGTCTCATGGAAAAGTAATATCAGCTGAAGATTTAGTGACAAATAAAGCCTGTTCTTGGTAAGCTCTATCAGAAGGAGCAAGCTTTCTAGGGAGCAGCTGTGCCAGATACAGATGCAGGGAAGTGGGTGTAACTGAGAACATGCGTGACAGACCCGCCCCGCATCACGGAGACAGCCACCTTGCCCAGGGCGTAGCCTGAGTTTTCTAAGGCTGGGTTTGCTCTGTCTGTCCTGCCACCCACTCCAGCCACCAAACCCCAAAGCCTTTGTAGTCTCACTTGCCAGGATATGTCATGGGCTCAAGGAGGTGATAAGCCCTGCCGGGTAGCTATAAATCACTCCCAGCTACAAGCTTTGGCTCCTTCCTTGCTTGTTTGCTGTTCTTAGCATTTGATTTATCCTTACAAAGAGAAAACTGTCAGTGCAAAGGCTACAGCCACCCCGTAAAGGCCAGCCACCCTGGGAACCCCCACCTACCTGGGGAACCAAAGATCTGCCTTTCCCTCCCAACTGGTGCCCAGAGGCATTTTTGGAGGTTGCCAACACAGAGGATTGGCAAAGGGACACTATTTAATAGGGAGGTAATGATAATCACAGGTAACTTCTCATCACAGAAAGTTGTTCATTACCATGTGTGACATGCCACAGATAGTTTCGAGTTAGAAAAGTTGCAGGGGAAATCGCCCTGCAGATGCCCATCCTCCCAGCACTGGGTTTCTGACACTGGCCATGCCATCTCTGGGTGCAAGTGTGATTGCCTGGTCTCTGAGATGCCAGAGTGTTGTCTGATCCTTGTCATCTACTCCCAGCTTCACCTTTAGCCACTTACTATGAGATTGCCACCAGCACTTTATGGTCCAATTTCTGAGACCAGTTTATTAAGAAAAAGCTGAAAAGCAGAGGTCAGAGGGCCCTGCCCTGAGAAAATTGCCCACCTTGTTTTTGGTGTGAGCAGCAGAATGGCTTTCCATGTCTGTCTGCCTAGATCACTAGCTTGCTAGCAAATAAGAGTTACTTTTAAAAGATGAGAGTTGTTAAAGAAGAGTTTTCATTGCTGGCACAGATAGACTTGGTTTTGTTGGGGAGAATGCTTACTTTGTTATAGAACCATTTTTTGTGTCGCTCCTAGTATGCATGTAAAAACGGTTATTTTCTCTAGCCACATGGGCGAGAAGTGCTGGCTTTCAAGGACAAATAGTTGTCCTATTTGTAGTTCTGCTAAGAGTGCAGAAAATTGGTTATCTTTGCAGAAGTTGAATATTTGTCCTAGAAGATAAGTGAAACCTGGCTCCAGCATGTGCATTTCTTTGGGGCACTTGGAACGTTTCATTGGGAGCAGTCTTTGGAACGGGAGGGAGATGGTCTTGAGTTGTTCACCATCATATTCAGTGACTTCCCTGAAGAGGCCCAGACCACGCTCCAAAACCAGTTAGGCTAAAGCTCTAGGAGCAATGGAGGCAAAGGGAATTTGAGAGCTTGCATGAGCTTCCATAGCCATCAAGCTGAGAAACATTGTCTGAAAGAAACTGAAGGGCCTGTTGAGTTTTTATGATCGCAGACCCTTTTTGTGCACTCTGCCAAGTTAGACTGACTGTGGCCAGCTCCCATCCAAGTGCCCTACAGAAAGGGGAAACACTGACCTGCTGTCTTAGCTTCAGAGCAGAAGAGGGCCTCTTTCCCTGGGGATTTCAGAGTGTAGGAGGAATGGAGGAAGAGGGAGAAGCCTCCTTTGTGTACTCCACTTTGTGGAGAAAGACTTGATGGAGCTTGATGACAACTTTGTGTTCAAGAGAAGGTCATCCTGGTTAGCTCACACCCAAGGTAAGATCCCTTTAGTACTTCTACTTTCACCCTGTACCCACTAAATCATGACAGCAAAAATGCAAACGAGCCTCAAACACTCCCTGAAGACTCCAGGAAGACCTGGATGTGAAGATTACAGTCCCACCCACATAACCAACTTTATTCAAAGCTCTGTTTAAACTTCTCCATCTGAAATTTTTTATTTTCCTCCCAAATCCAAAGTTCCCCTCTCGACAAATTTAACTACTGTCTAGCACAAAAGAGCTTTCATTCTGCTTTCAATCTCTTCTCCCCTAAACCAATCCCAGGTAGCTAGTTTGGCCTCATGGGGAAGAGGGATGGTAACCGTCCTTCTGCCACTGAGTTTAGCAGGAACACAGGACCATGTGAAAGGCACATGTCCTTGGAATCGTCCTACTGCAGGCATCCGGAGCTCCTCTCTCTGGTCTTGGAACTCCTCACAGCCACCATGTCCGGGCTCAACCCCACCTGTCTGTCTACTGTCGGGCCTTGCCCTGTGCAGGTGTTTCCCTAAATGTGTTGAGTCATACCTTCAAAGCGTTCCCTTTGCTTTTTTTGCACCCCCTCAGAGCTTACTCACACTTCAATAAATATATGTGTTGATATACCCAAGTGACATTAAAAACATCACCATCAAGTTGTAAACTGAAGAAAATTAGGGACAGGACTGAGGACACAAAGTATATGAATTCCAACTAGCAGGTAGTGGTGGGGGGTTAGTGTGTTTCCCACATGGCCCTTTTCATTAGTGAGGCTGGCTCTCTCCAGAGCAGCTGAAGTATTAACTTTTATTAGCTTTGGCATGTGTGGTTCTGTTGCCTGGTGGCTCCAGATTGATAACAGAAAGAATAAATAATGCAGGGGATAATGTAGGCAGTGCTGTAAGAGCTTTATGTGTGTTAACTCCCTCAGCTCTCTCCACCTATGCACTGTCCAGAGACATGCAGTGAATGATGAGGCTGGATCCAGATTCTTTTCCAAGAATCAACATGTTCAATTGCCATGCTCAAGAGTTAGAGAAAAATTCCAGATTTACTTAGAGCAAAGAAATCACTGGAGACAGAATCTGGAAAAGGTAGGCAGACAGTTCTGCCTAGAAAACCTGCTCCGGCCTGGAGAGAGGAACTCAGAGATTCAGACATTTCAGGGCTGGTGTGGGAAATAACATAGAACCACAATGTTCAGAAGACCAAAAATAAAACTAAGAGAAACTTCTCTAGGATATAAATCTGCTCTGGACAGGTGAGGCAGAGGAAAGAAGGGCACATCCATTTTCATGCCTGCACAGGTGTCTCTGACTCAAAGTCAATAATTGTTCAAGGACACAAGCAATGATGAATAATCGGGAGATGACCTGGACGTCTAGGCAAGATGGGTGGTGTTGGCACAACAGGGGTGACCCTAATGTCCTATAGGAAAGAGGCAGGCCCCCTTCTCAGAGGAACGCTAAGGGGTGCCTTCTCCCCTTCCCCTTCCCCACCCCCTCATCTACAGACAGCAGTAGAGGAAGGAAGAAGCAGAAGTGATTTAGTTCTCTGTATACTCGATTTGAGAAGGAACCAGATGTAAATCTGAGACGATGACCTATCTTTTGCTCTCTGAATTTATGAATTTATGGAAAAAATAAGTGCTAGGCTCACTGAAAAAAACTCTCCACATGTAGAGATTGAGGTGTGCCTGCATGTTCTCCCTGTCGTGTGTTGAATGTGCCCCTATAGGGGATAGCCTGGAATTGTACGCAGTGGAGAGAGCACGAAGTAAGGTGTCTGAACCTCAATCCCCCAGGTCTATCTCCAGTGTTGCCTTCACAGCCACAAATAGCAAGCCGTAAGTGAAAAGCAATGTAAACATTCACTGAACTCTTTTGAAAACACTAAAGGAAAGTCTGTTTGTGCTTCTCAATATTGTCTCAAAATTTCTTCAAATTGCACTCCTATCGTTATTACCCCAAACACTTCCTAGCATCCTTTTTAATTTTCCCCACATTTTATAAAATATAGCCTGTAAAAGTCTCATCCTGCTTCCCTTTCTATTGAACTTCCTTTTTCCTGTAATTAGAAGCTCTGCTCAGTGCCCTCCCTGCTTGGCACCCAGCTAGTCTGATTCCTGGCAATACTCCTTTAAAGAGCTATCCCCTCCCTCTTTTATGAGTAGAAATTACTTATTTTCGACCTCACCTAAATCCTGAAGGTAACTTCTGACTCTGCCTGCTACCTACCAGCATGATCATTCCCAGACTCCTGAAAAGAGCTTGTTAAAATACTCTACTGGTTGAATCAGAATGGGGGGAAGGGGAACTCTAGAAATCTGTTTTCAGTTAGCTCACCAGGTTATTCGGATAATAGCCATTTGGGGGGAAGCTATTCTTACCTAATTGGCTTCATTTGCATACAAGTCTTGTCCATAAAGTAGATTCTTAAGAGACCACATAGCTGACCTTTGGAGAATGGGCTTGGGACAGAGGCCATAGATAATTTGGAGATCTGGGAAATACAGGGTTGGAACCCACCTATTTCACATAATCTGCCCACATGGTTTTGTATAAAATGTTAATGACAATCAGAAAGATTAGCAGTAAACAAACTTACATTTTGCTTTGTTGCCATGACTCAAAAAATGTTACCCATTTCAAGTAAATGTCTGTTTTTATGTTCTGTCATTTCCAGGCACGAAAGTAGCTCAAACAAATCCCAAGGCATAAGGAAATGGGCCTCGTTCTCTAGGACTTTACAGCATTGGAAATGAAGCTAAGCAGACTTAATTACATCCTACAATTCTGCAACCTTTTGCGAAGCATTTTATTAAGTCGTGGAAGCCATCCAGGGTTATGTTTCAATCATGGTGACTGACTGACTAACTTCAACACAACGGTACCAACAGCCCTTCCAAAGATCCTTGGTTATGTACTTAGGATAGTACCTTCTCTAAATTGTACCTTGGTCTGCACGGAAATAAAATGGTAGTTAAAATATCTCATGTGTTGGCTAATTTAAAATTTGTTATTTTGGGGGCCTCTGAACTGAACGGCACAACTGAAGAAGTCAAACTTTTAGAATCACCATGTGTCTTACACACAAAAGATTGTTAAGGCTGAGAAATTTAGTTTCCATTTTGGTAGGCAAGAGAATAGAATAAGAAATGTGAAACCTTGCTATGGTCATATACTACTCCTACTTTGTCTGCAGAGAGGCAACACTAAAAGAACTTAGGAGAGGATAGTTAGTTTCTGGAAACTACCACATGTGATGAGGTGATTGGACACCTCTGACTAGATTGAGTTTGGGAATGTAGGAAAGGTCCTCACCATGGGTGTCCTCACCATGGGTGTCCTCACCATGGGTGTATACAGCACACCCCTGGCCCATGAGAAGACAGCAGAAGCTGGGTCTTTCTTTCCTCTGATAGATTAATAAAAGAGGATTTACAGAGAAAACATATCAGTGGTGCTGCTACAAAGAATCACAAGCAAAAATTTTCATTTTTCACAAACAGATTCCTTGAGCAGTTCTTTTGGTTTATGGGCTACTCCTGACCCTAGTACCATCACCCACACATGGCATGCTAATTTCTTATGACTGCTGTCACAAATAACCACAAACTGGGTGGCTTAAGTCAGCAGAAATAGGAACTCTCACAGATTGAAGACCAGAAGCCCTAAATCCAGAGAAAGGTCCTTGGGATTCCTCTCCTAGCTGCTGGGAGCTACTGGAAAGTTAGTGCTTTAGTTTCATTCCAACCTTGACCACTATCTTTACAAACTTCCTCTTCTTTTCCTGTCCCTCACCTTAGTTTATAAAAGTGTCTTTTAAGGACACTTGCCATTGGATATAAGGTCCAACTGGGTAATCCCGAATGATGCTCTAAAAGATCTTAATATCCTTTATCATATCTAAAAGGATTCTTTTCGAAAATCCATTATCATTATCATTTTACAGGATTTGATGTGAACACGTAGTTTGGGAAATGACCATTGTGCCTACTGCTTAAGACACTTGACTTTGACGTTTCTGACCCAGTATACACTGATGGACTCAGTACGCTTGAATCACATTTTCCTTAGAATCTGTGTTTCTACTAAAGATCTATGTATTAACAATGGTGATGTCTTCCTGAGGCTAGGAAGCCCTCTGGTTCCCAAGCAGAGTCATAGATGCTTCTTTCTTAGCTGATGATAAAAAAGTGCAACAATCTGAACAGGATGTGTTCAGAAGATAAATACCAGGGGTGGAAGACGGTTAGTTCTGGCAACCTCCCCCACTTGCGGATTGCTAATCTGTGGTCCATGGAAGAGCCTTGTCTTATCCCCAACAGATCAAATATTGATCCCATGTTCATTTTCATAGTAAATGTCACCAGAGTGTCTGGCCTCTACCTTCAGGGATAATTTCACTCATTGGTTTTCAATCAAATAAATGAATAGAGACCTAGTCACTAAGTTACTTGAACATACAGCAAGCCTGCCTATGGTTTTGTTTTCCATTTGCCTACACAGATAAAATTCTACAAAAGTCTTATTTCTGATAGTGAATTCCCTCATTTCAATCTCTTCCTCTAACTCTGCCATGGTTAGTTTGTGGGTGCAGAAGACCAGCCCCAAATCTCTACTTCCATCTCAGCCCCACTAGCCTGTGTAACTGAAAGGCATGCTAGCTCATCAAAGACTAGATAGAGCTCTGAACAGATGCTTCAAGAACTAACAAGGTCTACTGATAACTGTGTGGGAAAAGCTAGTCTTTACTCCATTTACTAAAATGGGTTTGTTCTGATGGACAAAAGACATTGGAGAATATTGCTAAGTTGAAAAATGTACCTGGAGTATTCTTCTAATTCTCTGGTTTTTATTTGGGTACAAATACTAGAGTCTTTGTTTTTCTGAAGAGCTAGTGAGTCACTGATGGGAAAGTGTGGCTGACTGGATGCTTGTCTGATAAAAACAGCACAGATACCACTCTATATTGGGAATAGAGATTCAGGAGGAAGATGCATCTTCTGCATTTGTGTAGTCACTTTTCAAATTCTAGTCCCATTCTTTATCATTTTTTTTTTTTTGCACCTACAGTCAAAATCCAAATAGTGGGAAAGAATGACAATCCATTTTTGGAAAGGAGCTTGAAAGGCCTATCCCCAGGATTGTCTTCACTACAGCTGACCAAAGTTAGAGGATACTACTTCTCTAATCCCCTCAATGAAGCAGCAGTGTGACTCATTGAGCAGAAACCTCTCGGTGCATCCATTCCTATATCCAAACTTTAAACCAAGGTCTAGCCACTTACTCATTTCTTCCAGTCGGCTATCTATAGAGTATAATCTGTCCAATAATCTAAAAAGAGAAGGGTTATGAAGTTTGATGTATGTTTATTGTATATGATTGTTACCTTAGTTTGATCTCTCTATATAGGGAAATCTAGGTTCAGAAAGGTTAGGTAACCTTCCTAGTCACAAAGTTGGCTGAGCAAGACTTTGGTTTCAGTGGGTTTTCTAAAAACGATGTTTTTTGGAGAAAAATTGATAACCAAGGACTCTCAGCAAATTTAACAATTACCATCATCAGTTTTTCTTCTGAACTTTCTATTGATTTGATGGGATTTTGTATTGATGTTCAAAGAGATGAGGGGGGTAGTTAAGGAAGAGTAGGTGCTATCCAAAGTTCTTAACTTCCTTTTAATCATGTAAATGAAGGCAACTAATGGCATTTCTGTAACCTAATAACACGTGGGCAGGGTCTTACTAAAAATACTCTGATTCTGAGGCAAATGTGCTACTCAAAATGTTAATGATTACCTATCCTGGAAATAAAATAACTTAAGGTAATTAACATGTAATTACTCAGTTATAGGGATTAAAAATGAGTCAGCCTACTTGGAATGAATGCTGCCCGTGACCCACAAGCAATAGTCACATCCAGAGAGCTCATTTTAGTTCTAAAAACATCTTGACCACCTGCTCTGTGCTGAACTCCAAGGTGATTGGGCTCAGCAGTCAAAACTGAGGTGACCCTAAGGTACAGCTAGAAAGTGGAGTGAATCAGATTTCACAGGGAAGGAAGAGTGGCAAGCAGCAGGCTAATTTCAGCAAGAATATAACCCCCGTTCTAGATAGCTAGAACTTTTCTTTTTTAATCCATTCTGTTTTATCATCACCATTTTCATCCTTATACTTTGCTTTCTTTTTATTTATTGAACAAATATTTATTCAACATCTACTGTGCACCTAGTATTTTATGTCCTAGGTGTGTGGGCTACAATGCTGAGCAAAAACATCTAGAAATAGCTGTTATCTCCCCTCTGAGGATGAGAAACCTGAATTTTAGAGCTTGTGACTTGCTTAGGGTCACATACCAGTAAAAATGCACATCCATTTATGAAAGCCTGTGCTAGCTATTTTCAAAGGCAGGGCAAGAAAACACAGGAGGTGCCCAGAAAGACTCCTGGTTTCCTCTACAGTCAGACCCAGATATATTCTCTAGATCAAAACTAGCTGCAGGTACTCAATCTAGACCATTGTCGTTCAATCTTTGTCATTTTGATAAATGTTCATATGTCCACCCTGGGGAAATGCTCTAAGCATAATTGGGACTTTACTGTATCTTTTACTGTGGTACCCCCAGTAGATGACTGAAACTGGCTACATACCCCATGCTCTTCCCTATACATACATACCTATGATAAAGTTTCATTGACAAATTTATTTTTAAAAAACACAGTAAGAGATTAACAGCAATAATAAAACTGAGGATGTAGAACAATGTATTGTCATAAAAATCATTTGCATGGGTCTCTCTCTTATACATAGTTTTTCCTGACCTTAATTGACCTCAGTTTAACTGAAACTGCAGGATGCGAGCCTACAGACGAGGAAGAGCTGTTGAGTAGCAGCATCTAGACCACGCACTGTCTAGTCACCCTACCTGACTAAACATCTCCTTACCCCTGCTGTTCTGAAGGAAGGATCTAAAATGTACTCCCAGCTTCCAAAAGATCATAGGTGGCTGATTCAAGGGGATACTTTATAAAGAGACTTTCCCTCTGATTACTCAGGCTTCATTCACCCACCTTTCCAATTTGCTTTCCTGCCCATCCCCTCTTTCCTCTTATTCTCTCTGCCCAAAGCTACTGAAGCTAAGTCCACAAAAGCACAAGCTGGAGAGCCAGTAGAAGGCAGTTCTCTATCGCTGTGTCCAAAGTTTCCATTTAGTAGCTGGGAGCAAGACCTGATATGTTCCCAGATGGCGTGGAGAGTGGTGGGTCAGGGCCCCATTTTGAAAAACCCTACCTTAAAGGGCTAATTGGTAATTTTTTTTTCCCTGCAAGTAAACAGAATTTGTTCTCAAAGCAGATCATAGCTGTTTTTAGAGCCTACATTTAACATATCTTAGTCCAGAGGAAATGAACTGCAAGTTAAATCCAATCAGGCCACTCAAGCATCTCCAGTAGGTTTTTAGATTTATTTAACACCACAGAAGATTTCTTGTCTGGGCTAATTAAGTGATTAGTTTGGATCGATAGTAGATGAACAAAGGGAAAGTGGGGCAGCTACAACTCACTACCAACTTAATAAAATGGTGCTGACTTCAAGCAAGAGAAGTAGTATAGGTCTGAAATTGAGCTAGGCTCCTGAAGACCTCAGTGTTGCTTGAGAGCAAAGGAACTTGGTTGTAGGATAGCTAGAATATGATCATGCAAAGGACTCACAAATGGGAAAAGAACTCCATCATAAGGCACAAGTGTGATTTTGAAAGAGAAGGGACTGTACCTGCCTCCTACAACGCTGTCAAGTATCACAGGGACTCAAGGCAAAATCCACTGAGGCTGCGCTTCCATTCAAAATTAGTCAAGTACAAATGCCATATATCTGAGTTTTGGGGCTTTGCCTGAGCTTTCCAGGTCCACATTTTCAGGGGAAAGTAATAGTTGGGAGCTGACATTGATGGTCCATTAGCCATGTACCTTTGACCTTTAAGGTTGGTCACAC